AAAGGTTAATAAAAGGATCACAGCAAAAGAAGGGACACTTTTAATAGAAGATTGGTGTTTAGGGAAAAATATTTTACGATTTTCTCTGTTCTACATTCATATGATTGTAAGGCTTGCGAAATTTATGACATTTTCCCTAACTTTTTTTTTCTTGTTTTATTTTCTTATTTTTTATCTTTTTATTTTATTCAGTAGTTTAAAACAAATCTCTCTCTCTATATATACAGGGTGATTATAAAAAGATGGGCAAAATTTTAGGAAGTGATAGTACACACCCAGGCAAACAGTTTTTATCAAAGAATGCATGGTCGAAAACAAAACGCAAAGGTGCTGGAGCCTTTTGAAAGTTGTTCGATGCAAACGTGAAAGCTCCATTCCTGTTGCGAGGTACTGCGCTGCGTTACTTTCGCCAAGCTTTCGGCCGCTGCAGGGAAAGTTCGTGATATGCCTGGTGTGTTTCAGAATGTTCGCCTGTCTTTTCTTCGCCGTTGTACTGCGTGCATAGCACTGTTTTGAACATTTATTGTAATCACATGTCATTTATAACTTAACTTCATCGTTCTTTGTGTGTTTTTGCCTCAAATAAGACATTAAACTTTGACGCCCGCTAGCGGTTTTGCGTTTTGTTTTCGACCATGCATTCTTTGATAAAAATTGTTTGCTTCCAATAAAAATTGCCAATAAAAATTGTACTATCACTTCCTAAAATTTTGCCCATCTTTTTAGAATCACCCTGTATATATACTTGCATTAAATAGAGGTGTTTTCGAACAATGCGTACATCGCACGCATTTAATAATAACACTAATAAACAAGTAGGTATGATGCTTATTTTGCAGTAAGTATGGTACAAATTACATTAAAATACTACTATTAGTTACGGTTAAAGATATTGTTCTAGTTTATTGTATTATTTATTGTTGTGATATGTTCTAAACTTGTCATACTACTGCAAAGATCGATGACGAAAAAAAAAGTGTACAAAGGAGAGCAAAAATCTTTGAGGACGAAAACCATAAAAACTAAAAAAAAGATTTATTTGACAAGACACAAGAATGGAAATTGTCATTGTCATTATATTCTGACTTGTCTTCAACTCGTCAGCATCCTGGCAGTTGACAATTTCCGAAGATAAAGGAAAGTCACTTAAAAGCAAGAAGAAAAAAAAGCTTTCTTTTTGTGAATAAATAAGAGAGTTGATTATGAGGGAAGGCTTGCAGAAAAGAAAAAAAAAGAGCTTCGAGATGTGACGTTTCAAAGTGTGAAAGATTTGCGCCTGATGTGTTGCATGCATGATTATTGTTGAGACGTCAACCAATGACTGAATTGATTCCTCTGTGATGTTTTAAGATGACATAAAAATTGACATCCTTCAGAACATGTCTACATTTGTCAGATTGCAATTGTGTTTTCAGATTTCTGAATTCCCTTATCAAATGGAATAGTGTTCCAATGTAAAAGAGATTTTATTTTGCACTTTTGACTCAGTATTTATTGATGTATTGTATTTTTATGAGAGTTTTCTTTATGTATAATGCAATGTTGTCAAGCATTTTCTGTTTCAAAAACATTACTTTTCATAAAGGATACGATCTAAACTGAAAATTGTCAGAAACAATTCAGCATTTTTAAAACTCTGTGTCAGCAAAAAATAGGACTTCACCCATCAAAGATAAACTTGTTTTATGATTCACCTTTTTTCAGCCTAGAGCCGCGATGGATCAGGGGATAGAGCGTTCGCCTTCCAATGAAGTAAACCGGGTTCGAATCCCAGCAATGGCTGATCGATACGAATCCGCATCCGGCTTGAACTGTCCACAGTGCTGATGTAAAATATCCTCAGTGGTAGACGGATCATGGGTTTGAGTCCCCTTGCCGTCAGGCTAACCGTGGGAGTCTCTCATGGTCTTTTTCTCCGTGTAACGAAAATGCTGATTAGTTGCATCAAAAAGTCCTCCACAAATGCGAATTTCCTCAGACACTTGATCCAGGAGTTCCCTTGTCCTCTGGATTGGGTTCAAAATTACAAGGCTACGGAGTTAAGCATTGGTAGTAATAAACCCAACGAATTGGGTCGGCTGATCAACGGCGGATATAAAATAAAATAAAGAAACAATATTGAAATTTTCAATTGAAACATTAAACATAACATATGCTGTGACTGACTTCAAAAGTTGGGTAATCAATGTAAAAAAGCGAACCATCAAACCTTTAAAAATTTAGTCAAACAGTTTTCTAATTACTATTGAAAAGTTTTAAATATGTTTCATTCATTATTATTTTTCAATGTTTTCGAAATGGTTTAGTTATAATAAATATATAATTGCACACAAAAATTATAGTAAGAAAAATATATATATTTAATTTCATTTCCTTAAATTTTATTGATGTCAAAAACTTACCATAGAAAGCCTTCATTTCAAGTTTCCTAAAGAAAAAAAAAGAAATTATTAAAAATTTATATATATATTTCTCTTACACGGCGACAAAAAAAGCCTCATTACAACTTCCCGAATGGCAACGCTAGAAAATCGACCAATGATTGCCGCTAAAAATGTCACATGCCAAATCTAGGTGAGGTGGCTCAACATATAGCGCTTTTAAAAACGGAAACTGAAATAACTTTAAGCCAGGCAGAAGTGAGTAGTTTTTGTTGATAGATCTCTATTTTAGTATTTTGTCGAAAGCGCTTTTTTCAAGAATTTATATATTACGAATTCATTTGACGATTTTTGATTTATATCACGAATTTATTTGATTTATTATTGTTATTAGTTATTCATTGAAAAATGAGTCTCAGTCGTTTTGTTACGCTTTAAGATTTTATATTATAGCGCATTTCTAATAGGTTTAACGAATTACATGTCATTTATTTGAATTCAAATTTATTTCAATGACTTAGTATTTACTAAAAAGATGTAATTTTTTTTAAAAAAAAAGTTTTTATATGGATTTGAATGATTGTTTTGAATTCTTAGAATTTTGTGTATTTGCAATGTACCTTAGTTAAAACCATATAAGATTGCGTAGCAATTTTCGGGGGTTGGCGAGCGTTAGCGAGCAGCTCAAGGCGCAGCCCACTAGTAATTTAAAATTTATGTAGGGTGCTTCGTAATACTGGGGCTCCACCTCCCCTAATGCTGTGTCCCATCATTTCACCACAGAAATAATTGCCAAAGTAAAGACGTTTTTTTCCTAAACCATAAGTTTCATAAAAACTAAAGATTTTCGCCTGTATTCTCATTTTTATTTCTTCAGAAAATTTAGTTGCTAAGATTTTACCTAATAAATATATCGACTGTGAAAACACCATCTCTTTGAATTATAGGTCATACAGGTTGCTATTTTTATTACTTTTGTTTGCTTCAATAACGCAAAACATTTTTCAACATATGATCTATATTTTACCACATAACCATTTTTTGCACACAAAAGGTACAAAACTTCAGAGACTTAACTTTAAGTAAAAGTACATTGAAACCCTTTAGGAGGGGCAATCTTTTTATGAAACTAAATTTTATTTGGTTAGCCTTAGTTCTGCCAAAAGAGTTTTAGAAAAATTGTTGCAAAAAAATCAGTATGTAATCAATTGTACTGATTTGAAATTCTGCAATTTTTTTCTGAGAAGAAAGTTAATAGTTTTTATAAGTGTTATAAACTGAGAGAGATCTTCTATGTTTTTGTCATATTTCAGCATTTTTTTACAATGGGATGCCTGCAAGTGACGTAATGTGGGTAGCTCGATCCTGATTGGTTACTGAAACGTGGCATTTGTTTACGCTAGCAAGTGCTCTTTTCATTCTATTTCGCGTAAGACAAGCCCGTCAAGTACCAATTCTCTTAAGTAACATAGCCTATAATCTTTCACAAAGATTTCAATTCCTTCACTATATATTTACACAAACACTTAACACAAAGACAGGCACGAAGTCATGTAGAACATAAAAGAACGTATTACGCATCGAAGTTGCCAGGTATACAAAACAAAAATATATCACGGTTACAATAAAATACATAAACATAAAATAAATCTAAGTGAAGTAAAAGAAGCAGACGAGAAAGAATTATATTTTAACAAATTCGGTGTGCGATATGGCTCCGTATTTAATGAAGAACCTAATTAACATTCTAACCTATGTAGAGAAACTTAGCTCAACTTTAATACGCCATTTTGCTGATATAGATTAGTTGGCGCTGACGTCATAGGTCACATGTGTGGGTATCGGATGTCTTCTTTTTCCAGGAGTACAAGGTACCCTATTAAAACTATCTGTAGTATTTTAGTGAATGAAATTTTAAGAATATATTTATATTTCTTTTTTAATACCTCGCATATTTTAAAATTTTTTTATTGAATTCTTTGATAGTTTTCCCAAGAAATTTTACGTTTTTTTTTAAATCAAATAATAAATAAGTAAATAGATATACATTTAACAGAGGTTTTTCTCAAAGAATTTTCAAATATTATTTTACAAAAATTGAATTAAATTAAATTACACAAAATTGAATTGAACTAAAATTTCAAAGGTTACCGTGAGAGTTAGGAGAGGAGGTTTAGGTTCCAACCAGGGACAGGTCTGGCCGAGGGGCCCGTCGAAATCCTACTCCGTGACATTCATTAAAACCGAAATTCTAACAATGACATAATGGCAGACAAACTTCATTTTTCTCGACAATCAGAAATCTTTTAATTGCAATTTTGTGGTAAAAAATTTATATTCTTCATTTGCATACATTGCGACTGTCAGATATATATGTACATCAACATCAAAATTAGAGAACAACAACTGAGCGGAATTGCATCGTAATTCCGATAGCATGTTTAAAATCACATATAGTGCGGCTTTGAGGAGAACTCCTCCAGACTAAAAGTCTGGAGCTGTCTGCTGCTATGGTAACAAGCGAGAGCACATTTCTAATGGGGGTGCAATGGAGGAATGAAGGTTTCGATTGGTTTATTACTCACGCTGACCTATGCCAAGATCAAGACAAAACTAATTACCCCACACCCCTATTCGAAGTTACTTTTCCTCGTAACCATGGTACCCGCCACGACGCGAGATAGGTGTCTAGAGGAGTTCTCTTGAAAGCCACACTATAATCTTAAATCACGTTTAGCTGTTTGTATCTAAATATGAAAAAGATTGGCCCGGAAAAGTATCTTGTTGGTTTACAGTACTGTGCATGTTCATAAAGTTACTGTACACGAAAAAACTGGTTATATACCATCAAAAATGCTCAGGTTGCCACGCGATCTGATATTTGAACGCCCACCAGATACCCCATTATCGCTTACCTAGTGAGTTCTTAAGATATTTAGGCACAACTTGATAATGTGCGAAAAAAATAAAAAAAATAAATGGACCACCCAGAATAACTTTTGACCTAATGATTGGATCTTCACGTTCTAGGACTCATTCTTAATGGTTTGAGAGGGGACTTCAAATATTCTAATAATTTGATGCAGACCATATTTTAAGTTACGAACTCAGACATACGAACGTACCTTCTCTGAATAGACATACTGCTTTTTTTTCTTTTGAAGGATTCGAATTTCTGCGCCTCAAAATATAGGGGGCAGTCACGGTCTAAGAAATATGGTCTCCATAGTTTGGTCCAGAGAACTCTCCAAAGTTTGGACCCCTTAATATTAGTTTTATTTCTGACGTACCTCGCCACATATTCGATAACTCTTTTAAGCGTGATGAAAATTTTTTGCACACAATTATGAAATTTCCAAATATATATATGCCCAAATATATTTCCATACAAAAATTAACTTTTAATAAATATTTATTATATTTTATTTAAAAATGGTCGAACAAATTTTGAAGTGTACTGTATAAAATTTTTGCATCATTTTAAAGTATGTAATTTTCTTGGTCTAAATGCAAATTTTGAGCAAAATTGGTCAAATAGTTCCTGAGAATTTTAAAGACACGATTTTTTTTGAAATGTTATTCTTCTTCATACGACTGATTTGGCGCACATTTTGTATTTTGTCGTACAAAGTTAATTTTTTTTAAATGACTGTTAAGAGAAAACTGAACTGAACTGTTAAGAGAATATAAAAAATTGAACTTGAGGTCTGCATTTCCTGGGATGTGTAGTCCTTAAGGCAGGGGAGATTTTACAAAGGGTTCTTGCTTACGCAAGTATAAGTTTAATTACATGAATTGTACGCTATCCTACCCAGTTATGATAACTACGCAAATGACTGCTTTCGTGGAAATTAGCGCGAACCGCAATCGTGAAACTAAGATGTTCTTTTGAGACTAAAAACCGATTAGATGAAATTCGAAGAAGAGAATGTGGATGTTGGTGTATTTGTGCGTAAATAAGTACACGTTATGATGTCTCTATTCTTCATTTGTGTTTTCTTTCATCTGTAATAAAATAAATGATTTTTGTATTCGTTCATCAGTTTTCATTAAAAGAACACATCATTAAAACAAACACTCAGAAATCACACACACACAACACGCAAATGAGCACATAAACATGTGTGTGTAACGTAACAGCTTCAATAACGATAATAAAAAGAGAAATAAAAAATCAGGTAAAAAACAGCTGAAAAAAAGCAAATTGCAAAAAAAAAAGAAGAAAACAACAGCTTCAACTAATCTTTTTATGTTATTCCTTTATCTAAATGTCTTTTTTATAATTTATTATTCAAAACTAAAAGCTTTCTCACACTTTAATATTCAAATCCTGTCTTTTGATCTATTTTTAGTTCAAGTATGCATTAACATTTTAACGTTTTCTCTTAACTAACAGTGAGAAACCCTCGACCTACTTAATAGACCCATTTTTATTTAATATTTTATATCCGTCGTTGAACAGCCGATCCAATTTTGTGTTTACGACTACTAATGTTCAACTCCGTAGCCTTGTAATTTTGAACCAATCCAGAAGACAAGGAAACTCCTGGAGCAGTACCCCCAGAGGTATTGATTTGTTATGGGAACATGGAGGACTTTGCGATTCGACTGATTTAACGTGCATCAGTCACCATTTACTACACGGGGAGTCTTCGGCCGGCGGGGATCGAACCCACGAACTCTTGGACATGGGGCCAGTGCCCTATCAACCAGCCTATCCCGGCCTCTAATAGACCCATTGTAATTACTCAGGTTTACTTATCCCTCCCCCCCTAAGATCCAAACATATTACCGGGTTATTTTGGAAGATTTTCCATATTTTTTATTTGAAAGCACTTCAATTTGTGTGTCACTTGGATGAATGTGCCAAAATAAATATTATTCACGTATAGCCTGGTGCCTGAGACTTGCTTATTTCTACCTCTCGGCGACGATTTGATCAAACTCCATAAAAATTAGGTGTCAGGCATGAATTATTTAACTTTTCCCTTTTAACCTTCATGATTTAAAATAAAAAAGCAAAATGATAAAATGCAAGTTTTTTTTT